TTTTAATCTAAAAAAGCATGCAATATTTTCCTTCTCTTACACAGTTATACTCAACTTTCTCTTAATCTATTGGTCTGTCTATTTCTGTGGTTGTAATGTGACAAAATATGGAAAGGTCAAGTAGTAGAAATGCCGCTTCAAGGTAATATGTTAAAAAATCTGATACAAATAGGGCTAAAAACATATATTTTTTTTCTGTGTTCAAAAGAAATTTGGGTTTACTGTTTACAACACAGTGAAACACTATGATTCTGGAAACTTGCCAGTAGGTTTTAAACTGGGAAATCAAAAGGCTGACAATATGTTTCACTGTGATCGCAGGCTTCAACCAAGAGGTTACCATTATGAGAGCAAATGGCTTTGAAGGCCCATTTCCAAGGATAGAGCATCAAGCTGCCATGGTGAGTAATGCATGTTCATTAGTTCACATTCAACATTTTTATCATTAAACTGACAGTTTAAATATATGACATGCTTATAGATTTTGTTAAAGAGAATCCGATTTCATGCAAAATGAAAGGACAAAAATTTGTATTTTTTCCTTACCCCATAAGACTTTAGCAAAGACGTGAAAGACTTGACAACCATAGTGCTGTGAAAATGACGTGACTCTGGGTGCTGTTCAGTTAGGAAAACGTGTGGCACGATTGTTTTCTGCTTCTACTGTTGAGAGTTGACTGAGCACAGAACACCCAGACCCCTAACAGGAAAATATCTCTCTTTACATTATCACATTTCGGTGTGTAACAAAGATTGCATGTTATGGATGAATGAACTCTGTGTGCTTCGTTTATGTTGACTTTGTTGGAAAAACAGCTTAAACCCACATGATGTAAGCTACACATACTGTAGAAATGGAAGCATAAACAGAACAATTCAATTAAATTCAGTTTATTTATATAGCGCGGATTCACAACACGTCAATTTAAGGGACTTTACAGAGACAATTCAACCAGATCATAGAGTCAAATTGATTCAAAGTTTTCTATCTAAGGAAAACCAGTTGATTGCATCGACTCATTGACTCGATGGCAATCCCTCACTCCAAATATGCTTGTAGCGACAGTGGAGAGGAAAACTCCCTTTTTACAGGAAGAAACCTCCAGCAGAACCAGGTTTATTGTGAGCGGCCATCTGCCGAGGCCGACTGGTGTTCTAGAAGATAGAAGCAGCTGTTTTAAAAGAAGCTATTTGTTAGGTAGAG